AATCGGAGGGAAAAGTGGCTCAGACACTTATCAGCTGAAAACTCATGAGGGACCAAAGCCATATCTCACACTTGCCCAGCCCACTACTTCCCATTGCCCACAATCCAGCGATAGGAGTGGGATTCCCATCAAGAGCATGGCCCTTTGCGGAGGGACATGAACATATCCCCATCTCCACAGTTTTGCGAGATGGCGCCCTGCGGTCCCCGGACTCCCTGTTGGGAGAGACACCCCGGACTCTCCTGATAATGCTACACTACATGCGGGTAAAGCACTATTATGACGCCGTACGTTACAAAGAACGACTGCACAGGGACCTCACTTGGTTCGAGGCGAGATGCGAGAGGGGCTCATCAATGGAAAAAACAATATCCACCCTCTACCAACATCTTTTGGTGGGACACTTGGAGGAGAACGATACCTTCCGCAAGCAGTGGGAGGCGCTGATGGAAACCACCTTCACACCCCAACAATGGGAAGGTGCATTACTCTGGCTCCATCAGCTCACATTACCAAGAAATGAATTACAAACTAATCGCACTCTGGTATAGGACCCCGATGCTGCTACACAGGATCTTCCCAACGACGCCCCCGACATGTTGGAGATGCCTTGAGGAGAGAGACACGACAATACATATATGGTGGGAATGTCGCCTCCTCGTCCCATATTGGGAGATGATCAGCGAGAAGAGAAACAAAATCATAGGAGAAACTACAGAATGGACAGCGGCTCTGCCCCTTCTACATATTTCAAAGATGTCGATAGCCATGTACAAAAAAAAATAAAAAAAAATCGATCCTACGTCATTTACTCAATGCTGCCAAAGCCCTGATCCCACTATATTGGAAGAAGACGGAGGCACCCCGAATGGAGGAATGGATTCGTAGGGTGGAGGACATTCAGGGAGCGGAGGCGATCCAAGCCTCACTACTTGGCAGGGGGGACAGACATGCAGAGATATGGCGGCCATGGTTCGCATTTGTGTCCCGTAGCCGATAGGGCGGGATGGAACGGGTGGGGGGGACGGCTGGCCCGACGGGGCGTGACCATTCCTGCCTGCTTTATTCTACCCTACCTAACCTATACTTAGGCCTTGGGGCAACTCTTCTTCCCTCTCTACCAACCTACTTCTGATTTTCACCTGTAACCTTTACATACACATGAGCAAATGGATAAGACACACTCACGCTATAGTGATAAGCCTGTATCTTGTCCAGGACCAGTCAGTGCGATCATAGAAAGACAGCACTATAATTACCTCATTCACACCTATCACAGATTCCACCAATGATTTAAGGACATACGCAAACCCTTAAAGGGTGGGATAGCTAGGACGGACAGACCCATGAAAGGCCTTGTAATCACTGGCAACACACACAGGTCCATATTTGTATGTAGTGCAAGGCCTTAGTAGCCACATGGAGCTCCTTGAAAGTCAAGTACTCCCAGTATGGTTAAGACCCCACCATAGCGTAGCGCCTCTTTAGATACCTAGCACCGAGTGACATGGGTTGCAGGGTACACACAAAAAGCATGACACTCCAAGGGATGGCTTACAGCTACACACATTGGTGCAAGGTGGAGAAGGGAAGTACTGTACCATACCATGTGCTGATTGTTGTTGTGCACTTGTTTAAAATACCCGGCCTCTATGGGTCCGGTATAGCCCTACATGATGAAGACTTCACCTACTATGTACGCAACCTTACTGTGCTATATGCAACCAGGACCTGCGAGTCCTCACTATTGAATATGTTTGTATTGACAAAACTCAGTTTCTATACACACAGAATCTTAATAAAACAGATTAAAAAAAAAAACTTGATAGGGATAGATGAAGTGAAAATGTTTGTGACGGTCCAACCCTCTCTGACCGTCTTGGGTTCCCTTTCTCCCAGTTATTAGCGAATAATCCTTCCTGGCAGAGTGTAGACACAAGCATAGCATAACCCTCCACACATGAGCCGAGGCTTCATGCTGGGTAGAGATCTGTTTAATGCCACACAAAGCAACAGTATTCATGCAGTAAAACCACTCCTGCTCTGAGGCAAACAAACTGTCAGTTAAAAGAGTCAGACAGAGTTTGAAAATATGACAGTTATTAAGGGTTTAAACTGGTGTTCTAAGAGGGAGGGGGAGAACAAAACAGTCAAACTAAGTCCATAAAACAGGGGTTTTCTTCACACTCTGCATCTGAAGTGCATAGCAAAACTACAGATCCTTTGTCAGAGCATTTAAAGGGCCAGAACCATTCTAATAAAATCCACTATGCCCAAATAACGTATTTAAAGGGCAAAATCTTTCAGGGGCCATAGTTGCAGGGCAGGAGGCTGGCAATTAGTCCTCTCCAGGCACAAGTGGCGAAGGGCACTTCGTCACAATGTTTATTAAAGCAGCACTCTAACCCATGGCCCATAAGCTGCAGTTACCGTGCTCCACCAATAGAATCCTTGTCTTAGAAAAGCATTGAAACATTGCTTCTCTGTGAGAAGCTCTCTCTAGTGCGTTGGACACTCATTTAGAGCCAGTGAGAAGGATACCCTTCTGCATGCTACTAATATCATTGATAAAAGTTCCAATTTCTCTTTAAATCTTACCTCTAAACTCCAATATACTGATAACACTTTTTTTAAAACTTGACCCTTTGCCTTGTACCTAAATATGCTTTTCTCTAAAAGCCAAAGTCTCAAATCCCACCATGGCCACTAACTTTCAAGCATGGAGTCAATAGTACTCATTTTAGGTGCGAGCTCCCCCCCTCACCCAGAGGGTTCTGCCTGACTACTAAGAATTATATTGCAATGCTACATAAAACCATGGCTAGCCTCCATTCTTTCTTTTTTTTAAATTTTTTTTATTTTTATTTTTAAGCATAGGTAATGCATACATTGGTTTCAACGTATATTTTAACAGTACAGATATGGCATGTAATATTTGCGAAGGTACAGTGATACCGTACAATGTGTAGGCATAACGTGTTACATTACACACAGTATTAAGCATCAGTAATTGTTCAACATTGGTAGGAGATAATATACAATACAGTATAGTTACATAGTGAAACGTAGGACATTGGACAGCGGAAGGATGAGTTTCATGGAGTTAGATAGGTTATACTGATCCATGTTGCAGCGTACGTGACAGGTCACAGTAGCCACTAGTGTAGGCTTAAGTAATAACTGTGAAGTATTGCTCTATTCAATAGAGCGCTAATTGTAGTGGTGTAGCCTTCCTTTCTTTCCCCACGTCTTACTTCAAACCTTTAAAGCCCATGTTTGTGCTACCTAGTCCTGGGTCATCCCTAGTGTCAGTACTGTCACTAATAAGTGGTCATCTGGATTCGTCCACGTCAGTTCTCGGTTCCCACTGCGCTCCCGGATGCCCTTGGTCTCGCCCGACGCCACGCCATCCCCCCCCCCTATCCTTTGTCGTGAGGAGATCACAGTTTATTGTCTAGTGTGGCTCTAGTGTCATGAATGTAATCCACGGTGCCCAAATTTTGGTGTACTTCCCATAGTTCCCAACTTTAGCCTGCGTTATACCTTCTAATTGTTTCGTGTCTTCCACCCTCTGGATCCATTCCCTGAGCGAGGGAGTGGTAGGCTGCTTCCAATATTTAGGAACTAGTTGCGCCGCGGCCATGACCAGGTGATGGAAAAGTGCTGTTTGTAATTTTGATAAGCCCTGGGGGGGCAAGAGGAAGATGTACTGGTCTGGGGCTAAGGGGAAATCGGTCTGAAAGATGCTGAGAATGACAGTGTGAATTCTGTTCCAGAATTTCTCTATTTGCGGGCATTGCCACCATATGTGCGCATGATGTGCCCCTGGTTGATCGCATCTCCAGCACTTGTCTGTGGACGTGTTATGGATCTTGCGGATTTTTGCTGGTGTATAGTGCCATCGTGTTATGCGTTTAAAATTACTCTCTTGCGCGGTCAGCGATATGGTGGCATTATGTGCCACTTGCCACTGTGGGCACGTGAACTCTATTCTGAGTTCCTCTGACCACTTAGCTGTATAGCTAGGGAGATTAGGTGCTTGTGACTCCCTAATTAGTGTGTACATGGTAGATAAAACTTTTCTAGAGAACGGGTGAGAGGAGCACAGTTGTTCAAATTTTGTCAAGGGCCTGTCCCCCCCGGGTAGTAGGTTGTGCGTCTTGATAAAGTGTTTCAGTTGGTGGTAATGTAATTGTTGTAATACCGTCGGGGTGTCAGTCTGTAAGATGTGGTTCAAATTTTTTACTTTACCGTCCTGAATAACATCACACAATTTTAGTGTCGAGCTATTGTGATAGAGCTCGAACGCTTTGCCCGAGTTCCCTTGTTGGAAGTGAGGGCTATGTGTAATTGGGTATAGCGGGGATGGGGTTGGAGAGAGGTCTAAAGTTTGTCTTAGTTTATGCCACATTTTAAGGGTTGTGTCGACTGTCGGGTGGCAGTGATGGAGTCCCTTTCGTGAAGATATAGGGTCGAGGTGTGACCAGACGCAGATGGATAGTGGGGTTCTGGAGAGAGCGTTCTCCAGGATAGCCCACTGGTGGATTTGTGCATTTCTTGTCCATTCGTAAACCCTCTGTAGGTGTATTGCCTGATGATAAAGTTCAGCATCGGGGAGATTTACTCCTCCTCTTTCCTTACTTCTAGTCAAGGTGGCGTGGGCCAAACGTGGTGATAAGTGCGCCCATAAGAATCTCGTGAACATGGACCTAGTCGTGTTGAAAAATGTGCGTGGGATAGCAACAGGAAGAGTCTGTAGGAGATATAGAATACGAGGTAGGATGTTCATTTTAAGTATATTAATCCTACATAGCCAGCCGAAGCAGGGCTTGTGCCATGTCTGGAGATCCTTAGTAATGACTGCCAAAAGAGGGGGAAAATTTAGTGCATAGATCGACTGTAATTTGTTCGGGATGTGAACCCCTAAGTACTTAATTGACCGCGGTGCCCAATTGAAATTAAATTTAGACTGTAATAGTGTGTCCATGGTTCTCGCGGTGTGAATTGGTAAAAGGTCGCATTTAGTTAGGTTCGCCTGAAAGTTGGAGACTTTACCATATGTTTCCATCTCCGCTATTACATAGGGTAATGTCGAGAGCGGGTTCGCAATTGTGAACAAAAGGTCATCGGCAAATGCCGTGACTTTGTACTCCTGTTTGTCAATCTCAAAGCCCTGTATGTTGTTATTGTCTCTAATACCCTGAAGGAAAGGTTCCAGGAATAGTATGAAGAGAATAGGGGAAAGAGGACATCCTTGTCTCGTCCCATTAGTGATGGTTACTAGTTGCGATAACTGACCATTGACCCTCAGTCTAGCAGTTGGTAAGGAGTAGATGGAGTTTAACCACTCTTGCCAGCGCGGGCCAAAGCCTAATTGCCGCATTGTATGTTGTAAGAGTGCCCAACTAACTCTATCAAATGCTTTCTCCGCATCGATAGCCAATAGAATACTGTTTATTTTGCGTGATTGAGCCCAGTGTACCAGATTAATGATTTTAGTTGTGTTGTGTTTTGCTTCCCTATGTGGAACAAAACCTGCCTGGTCTTGGTGGATAAGGCTAGGTAAAAAAGGTTTCAGTCTAGTAGCCATTATTTTTGTGAGAATTTTGAGATCTGCGTTTATCAACGAAATGGGTCGGTAACTGCCACAGGACGTAGGGTCTTTTCCCGGTTTAGGTATTAGAGTAATGGTCGCCTCTAGTGCAGACTTGGGTATACTAGTTGACAGATTATGGGCATTAAATGCGTTAAAAAAGGGCTGTGCTAGAGTTTGAGCCATTAATTTGTAGTATTTCCCAGTGAAGCCGTCCGGGCCTGGGCTTTTACCTAAAGGGATAGTCTTGACTACCTGTTGGAATTCCTCAATCGTGATGGGTTCATCAAGGAAAGCCTTGTCTATAGGTGGCAGAGTACGTTTAATTCTGGGTGTCAAGAAGTCTAGTATGTCTTGCGTGGTTGGTTGTGTGGATTTCAGGTTATATAGATGAGTGTAAAATTTATGGAATGCTTTAAGTATGTCTGGCATGTTACAGGAGATAGTAACGTCCTCGGATCTAATTTCGGAGATGAAGCTGGATTGTCTGTCTACCTGGAGTGCTTGTGCAAGGAGTTTCCCCGCCTTACCTCCCTGCGTGTAGTAGGAGCTCTTAGTGAGCGAGATTTTACGTTTTGCGTGCAGTGTCAGAAGCGCTGTGAGTTCTGAACGTTTAGAGAGTAAAAGATTATAATTTTCTAAGGAAGAAGCATCCTGGTGTACAGTTTCCAAGACTTTAATGTCCTTAGTGAGTTGGGAGATTGTGTGTTCCCTCTTACGTTTAAGTGTCGCTGCTATCCGAATTATTTCACCTCTAAGAACTGCCTTATGGGCCTCCCACGTCATAATCGGAGTCGTGTCTGGATTAGTATTTTCTCTAAAGTAATTTGTGGCAGTTTCTTTAATTTGGTTTATTGCTTCCGTGCTATTTAGGATCAGGTCATTGAGTTTCCATTGAGCAGTGGGATTAGGGATCGAGGGGATGGTCAGCCTGAGTGTGAGTGGTGCGTGGTCTGACCACATGATAGGACCGTAAGAGGCTGTGTTAATCAGGGGAAGATGTCTATGGTGTAGGAAAATTGTGTCTATACGTGAGTAAGTGCCTGTGGGTGAGGAGAAGAATGAATAGTCTTTTTTCGTAGGGTTTACCGCTCTCCAGCTGTCATATAGTTGGGCATTATACAGAATGTTTTTCATTTGCAATCTTGACTGTGTTAGATATCCCTGTGAGGTAGAAGTAGTGTCCAGGGTTTCATCTAAGGAGATATTGATGTCTCCTCCTATTATAAGGATCCCTTCATAGAAATTAGTTAATTTGCGCAGTATTTTGTTGAGGGATTGGGACAGTTTCTTGTTGGGCAAATAGATATTTGCCAAAGTGATTTGGGTATTCCCTACTTTCCCCTTCACGAAAATAAATCTACCTGCATCATCTAACTGATGATCCTGGTGCGTGAATTGCGTCTGACGGCTTACGAGTATGGCTACTCCCCTTGCTTTAGCTTCCGTGTAGTGGCTGAAATAGCCTCTCGGGTAGTCCCTGTTTTGAAGTCTAGGGGGAGCATCCTTACGAAAGTGTGTTTCCTGTACGAAAACAAAGTTCGCTTTGTGTCTGTGGAAGTCTGTTAGAGCTATCGATCTTTTCTCTGGGATATTCAACCCTTTGGCATTTTGCGAGACGACAATTATGGTAGACATTGCTGCCGTGTAATTGTCGCGATAGGGTTGGGAATAAACTCGGTGCTGTGATAATTATGTGTAGTAAGTTGTATAATGTAGGTGAGCTGGAGTCTCAGTCAGATTCTCCTTAGGGAAAATTCGGGTGAGCAGATGAGGGAGAGTGCTGGTGCAGGTTACCTCATATAGGGACGCGTCCGAGGAGGGACCAAGGGGTCTCCCAGACCCGCCCCGGGCTCCCGGTCGCGCAACGAACCCCGCAGTCCTAGTAGAGGTCTGGTCTCAGTCTTAGAGGAATCTGTGCATGGTTTAAGCTTTCGGTTTGAGTCCCTCGTCAGGCACTACTTGAACCTTAATGCATATACAATACAACATAAAAATCAAAATAAAGGTACGTATCGATATCAACAACAAGGTGATCGTTACAGTACAACGAAAGTATTTCCTGAACTTTCTATATCTGGAGTATTGTTGAATCGTGGACATACATTAGAGAGGAGTATGTTAATCCAAGGTATGTGCCTACGTGGTTCGTGTATTATCTGTCTCGAGGGGTAGTCACCGTAGTGTGCAATAATATTATGGATGATGTGTAGATGGTTACACCCAGAGGTGTGTGTGATATGTTTCCCTTAAGGGGAATGTAGTTCTGTCTCGTCACTGGAGATAGAATCGTAAATAGATTGGGGTTGTGTGCTGCGAGAATATATCTAGGACCCGGGGCTCATTGATCCTATTCACTTAATCTATCTTTAGGAGAGAAGGTCAGAAGACCTATAGCTAAGAGCGTAAACGGTGTATGGGGGGGTGAGGAACAGAACTAGGGAGATCGGTCAACCAGGCCGAGTCCTGCTTGAGAGGAATGTTACAGCTACTCAAGAGTATTCCTCTCGTGTTTGTTTTAGTTATCATCCTTATCTATGCGTGTTTATCACTTAGTTAACTATATACACTTTTTTTCTTTTGTTAATATGAGAATAACTCCTTTCCGATTGCTATCTAATCCAGACTCTAAAGTCTGGGGCTATCCCTCGTGTCTAGTCAATTTAGTTACTGTGGAATTGATGTGAGCTGGCTCAGTCGTGTCAGAAGTGAATAACCTTAACTGCGAGTGGCAGTCCCTTGGTTATGACTCAAGGCTACTGCTAATGTCAGAGTATGCGGTAGACGTAGCTAAGATCTCTAATCAAGGACTCTGCCGGGGCCATCACTTCAATGCTAGACTTAACTAGACAACAATCGGTATAGTAAATAAACAAATATAAAAACACAGGTAAGAACAAACTACGTGTGGTATGGGAGATGTGGACCCAGGCTTGTGTCTACATTGTCCTTAAATATACGACCTGAGAATGTGAGAAGAGTCTCTCCCTTCATAGGGACGGTGATCGTCGAAGTTCTTCAGCCAGGTCCGTACTTGTTTGAGTGAATGTCTCAGAGTCAATGGTGGGTATACAGATTGAAAAGTCCCATGTGCTGACAAGCCCGGGGGTAGGAAGAGGTCGAAGTTATAAAGCTGAATAGCGAAAGGCACGACTCCAGAGTGAGCTGGAAATGGTGCAACTTTTGTCATTTTGTGTGTCGGGTAGCATGTAGGATATCATCTCATATGGCAGCTTTAGTTGTTAGGGTTTGTTCTCGGTTGGTTTTGGATGCTGAGCTGTCTTTCCCGTCGGTGGTGAGGTGAGAGGAGCCTGTTCTCTACCCTCCTTGTCTTCGCAGGGGTGGTCCACTTCTGTCTTTGGGAAGGTTGAGTGCTGTCTTGGTTTGGGATCGGGTAGTTCCAATCCATGATAGTGGTATCTGGCAAGTCCAGTGCTCTGAGGAAGGGAGGGACATCTATGATTGAGGCAATTTGATGGATGTTTCCTTTGTTGTTCACTATTAGGACGAACGGGAAGCCCCATCTATATCTAATGTTTCTGTTACGTAGAAGCTCAGTGATTGGCTTAAGCGCCCTTCTTGCCTGTAGGGTATACCAGGAGAGGTCTGGATAAATCTGAATTGGATTCCCGTGGAACAGGAGCGGCTGCGAGGTATCCCTCAGTGCCCTCAGCACCAGATCTTTGGTTGTAAAGTAGTGTAGCCTACAAATGACGTCTCTGGGGGAGTCTTGCGGTAGCCCCCTAGGTCGAAGTGAGCGATGAGCCCTGTCCAGGAGCATTTGGCTGGTACCAGAGCCTCCTATTATAAGAGTAAAGAGCTCTGTTAGAATAGCTGTTAAATCCTCATTTTGGGATCCCCCTTATGCGCAGGTTATTTCTCCTCCCACGATTATCTAGGTCGTCTATATGTCTCTGGGTGGCGGACATAAAATGTATATGTGATTCTAAGGTAGAGGAAATATTGGAGATTTGGGCTTGCATTGCATCCTTCTCCTCTTCCAGGTCTATGACCTTTAGATTCATTTGTTGAATTTCGGAGCCCATTTCTGCCAATTTGGTATGGAGGGTGGCTTCCAATTTCCCCATCATAGTTTGGAGATCAGATTTGGATGGAAGATTCCGCAGCATGTCTTTTATGTCTAAGTCTCCACTGTTATCTAGCGATTTTAATGAACATTCTGACACGTGGGGGCTTAGTGGCTGCATTTTCTCTACGGGATCTGCATCCGCCATCTTGGAGGTCGCGGCCGCGGCCTCCAACTCCCGATCGAGATTATCTTTAAAGTAACGGGTGAGAGAGCCCGTTTTAGGTATGGGGGTTTTCCCCTGTTGCCCCTGTACCTGGGTCTGTCTCTTGGGATTGCCCATTTTGCTCGTGCCTCTCCGATTGTAATGGATCGTGCCCGGGTCCGGAGGAGCTGAATCAGAACGCGTCCATCAGGCTTCACGGCTAGCCACGCCCCCCGCCTCCATTCTTTCTATGTGGCAGAAATTGATATGCCTATGAACTCTGTCACGGCTCATATACAAGCATTTTGGGGCAGAAGGGTTATCTTAAGGACAAAGTGAAAGAAGTTATACTTTCACACAACCCGTCTCTTGGTGAAATTAACAACATTCCATATTACAGTGTAGTAGTAAGAAAATGAAATGGTGGACTT